GCCGGCCGTGGCTGCTCCCCGCGGGGCAGCGGCACCGCTCTCCTCTCTGGGTGCTGCCTGCAGTAGGAGACAAACTGCCTCTGAGTACTTGCAGCCCTGCGGGAAGCAGCCCCCAGGCAGAGATCTCCTCTGCTCACCACTGCTTGTCATAGGCAGTGACAGGCAGTCACTTCCTGTTATTGCTGGGCTTTGAAAAACGTGGTGTTTTACTCTTCGAGATTTGGGGGGCCTAAGCTGAGATGCTTCTGCAAGCCCCTGTGACTGCAGGCGCTCCAGGCACAAGCCTGCTTTGCATTCACAGCGGCGAGCACAACGTGCTCCTACGACTAACGCTCATCCTCCCACGCAAGCGATGGGGCAGAGCAAGCGCTGAGCGTGCTGACGAAGCCCCACGCATGGGAAACCCCAAACAGCTGCTGCTCGCTAGGTCTAACCTGGGCTCTGTTAGCAGCAAGCGAAACCTTTCAATGTGGAGAAGGAGCCTAATGCAGCCATGTGTCCCATGGAGGCTGTTTACTCTGAACCCTATCAATGCCAATGACATAAAACCTGAGGTAGCTGACCCAAAGAGATTTAATCTCTGTCTTGCCCAAAGTGCACCATACAAGTGATATAAAATATCTTTTAACACGCTTTTACAGTGAAAAAGCAGTAAAAGCCATGTTTTTACTTCTCCTGGGAGTCTGGACTTGCAGTATGTTTCCTTCATCCTCCAGCCCCTTTTCAGACCCTCCCGCTTGCCCCATGGGGGTGAGCTGGGCTTCCTAACACTTACAAGAGGGAGGTCCCGAGGTCGGTCCTCTCCTCTAGCAACTGTGTCCTGCAGGAGACCTTGCCAGGGCCACTCTCCCCTGCCGAAGGCCCATCTGCCTCTTCCGGGGACCGGCTCCCTCCCAGGCTCAGCTGCTCCAGGCTCAGCGACGCCGGCAAGGACTTGAGGTTCTTGTACCTGGTGGCCAAAGGGAGATCCATGCTTGCTCTAAGCTGCCTGGGACAGCAAACACCCATGAAAGTTTTCACTGTGCTCAATGTTGTCAGGGGATACTCCAGCTCCTGTTCAGTTTTGGCTCCCTAGGTGGGGGCACCCAGTGCCCGAGGAGCACCTTGCGCCTGGGGCTCGGTTCCCTGCCCACTGTCACGTCTCTATGCAGGAGCTGTGGTGCAGGAACTGTCCCGCGGCCATGCAAGGTGGTTCGGTTTTGGGGAGGCAGTGAACATAGCCATGCCGTAGGGCTTTGCTGGGGGGATGCCCAGGTCTGGAGGAGCAGAGCCTGCCACAACAGTATCAGCCTGGAAAGACACTCTGAACACCAGAACTAAGTTGCTCATGCAGACCTGTCACCTTCCCCATCACGGGGCCACACACATCTGGCCCCTGCAGGATAGACACTTACTGCTCCAGCAGGTCACCAAAGTCTTCCTCCACCTGGAGCTGCTTGTGCCAGAGGGGCTCGGGGAGCTCGTCTCCTCCCGCCTCGCTCTCTCCGCTCACAGAGCTCGCGCCTGCACCCGGCCGGGCGCCAGGGAGGACCTCCTGCAGCGCAGGGCTCTGCAGGGTGCAAAGAGGGAAGTGAGCTTGGAGGACCGGGGTCCCCGCAGCTCCTGCCCACTGCTGGGAGCCAGGCAGAGGGAGAGGTCACAGCGCCCTACCCCAGCCCAGCCAGGACCCCCCAACCCAGCCCCATCTGCCCTTTGTGGCCCAAAACCAGCAGCAGCCACGTGGGCTAGCAACCTGCCGGGCCGCCGAGCTTACCTCGGGGTAAGGGGTACACGCCGCTGGCATCGGGGCTTGCAGGGAGGGAGTCGGGGAAGACATGCGTGTCTTGGAGAGCAGCACTGGCGAGCGGCAGGGAGAAGAGCCCCAGCTCTGTGGGGAGAGCTGGCTCTGAGCCGCTCGCTCGAGCCGATCCTTCAGCTCCTCCAGGCGCATCCCCAGGCAGAATATCTCCCCTTCCACCGTGCTGAAAGACAGTCGCTCATGAGCCCAGATCAGAGAAACTGCCAGCAGCCAGCAAACAGAGCCCGGGCTGGGGTTCACGTGAGCTGCGAAGGGCCAGGAGCAAACAGCTGCTGGGCTTTGCTGGTTTGGAGAGGGCAGCAAGCTACTTTGCAAGATTCATGGGCCTCACGTAGTCTTCACATAGCCATTAGTATCCCCAGAAAATGCAAACAGGTAGAATAAATAAGCATACGCCCAGCAAAGCCCTCCCATCCCATGAATGAGGGTGGGTTAATCGGCGCTGGCCCAGCCTGGCTCATTGAAACATCCATGTGTGCACCTCCCTGCTGAAATACACCCAGACATCAGGACTGGCCACGCTCCTGTCCCTGTCTGGGCAACATTTTCCTTCTTTGCATTGCTCTGGGGCACTTACGTGGCTTCCCAGCCTCAGTGCATGGGTACCCTTCATCGGCAGGGCACAGCCCCCCTGCCAGGTGAGACAGGGCAAGGCTGGGACTTTCACTCACGTGGGGAAGCGAGGTAAGAGTGGGGAACTGAACCTTTGTCCCTCCTGTCCTGAGCTGAAACACCTACCGGTCTGGATCAAACTCCCCTGAGGCTCCTGGGTGCTGTTGTAGCCTGCGGTTCTCTTCCCGGGCTTGCAGATACGCTCGCTCCAGAGCTTCCTGAGTGTCCTTCAGCTTCCTAAACCTCTGCAGCACAAAGGCAGCACAACTAAGCTGGAAATCTCAACCTCATGTACCCAGATCCCAGCTCTCGCTCGGCTGCAGTTCTAACCCCATCTCACTGCACTTTCGTGGCAAACCCTGTATTACCCTGTCCACATTCACTGCTACGCCCCGGCGTCTCCTGGGGCAGCCCTCTCTCATGGACCCTCCACACTGGGAGTCTCAGAGCAGGCCCGAAGGGGCCTTGCCAGCTGAGCAGGCTACTCCCATGCAAGGCATGCTCAAATGCAACTTTGCACCCTCTGAGATGTGGCTGTGGGGTCAGGTGGCTGCCCAGGACGTGGGTCTGACTTCTCTGAGCCTGCCTGTTCAGTGTGGCACTGATGCTGTCCATGGGTCCAGCAGGGCTCCATGAGAGCAGAGACAGCAAGCCTTGGCCATCATACTGGCAGACCCACTCCAAGGAGGACCAGGTGAGGGGCACTACTCCTCGACAGGAGGACTGCTCCCAAGGGAAGACCCAAGCACATGCGAGTGCACCTCTGGCTACAGCACCAGTCTCTTTCAACGAGAATCTGTCTACATCCCAGGGCAGCAAACCTCCTTATGGCCCTGACACCCAAAAGAGAAACAGCCAATGTCCCACCAGAGAACAAGGCTGCTCCAACTGGAGCCGAACTGGGTGCAGTCCCATGTAAAACAACCCCCGGCATGCAGCACATCCCCTCCACATCACTGCTCCCCTCTCCTGCCCCGTGACACCTCCAACCCCTGCAAGGCACAGCCTGGGGGACATGGTAAACCCAGGTGCTGAGGGAGGGAGCTGGATAAAAGCAGTGGGCTCTGCCAGTGGGGGAGTGCAGCAGCTTCGGGGAGTCCAGGTAGGCCTCCACTTTTCAAGCATTACCAGGGTCCCAGGAAGGGCTGATGTACCTGCAGCTGCTCCTGCGGCGTGGACCTTCCCGCCCGGACCCAGGCTTCGAAGGACTCCACCTGGCCAAGAGAGAAAGGGGTGAACTGAGCCCTGCCCTGGGAGGTACCACAGGGGCAGAAACCCATTTTCTCCTCCTGCCTCTTTGCCGCCCCCAACATCCAGCAGCCCCAAGGTCCACATCCGGCCCTGCTGCCCGACTTGCCTGAGTCTGAAACTTCTGGGTCTGTCCTGCCAGCGTCTGCGTGAGCTGGGCTTCTGGGCTCGGGTGCTGCCCCAGACACCTGCACTCTCCTGCGCATGCAGAGCAGACCACCCCAGGCAAAGGGGGAGAACGAGGCCGGGGTGAGGTCCCCTGGTCGGCTGGTCCCCATGCTGGCTCTGCAACAAAATGCAAAGAGAAGACGATGTAGGTGACCCCCAGGAGCACCTGGTTCCCCAGCTTTGGGGCTAGTCGTGGTCTGGCTCTGGGTAGGGGGTCTTGGCTGAAATGGCACCATGGTGGGAGTGCAATGGAGAGGCACTTTGAAATTCCCCAAAGTTGGCAGGGCAGGATGGGGAAAAGCAGTTCAACCCACCTCCATCCAGCAGAGACTGCAGGGCTGGGACAGGGGCAGTGCTGATTGCTGCCGTCCTCGCCTGCGGGATGCTGAAGGCCATGACCTTGGAGCCAGTCCCCAGGGTCCCCATGTGGATGCTGTGGCTGGGCTTCGGCGGGTCGGCATACAAGTTCACCTGAGAGGCAGGGAGAAAGGGTTTGGGGCATTCAAGGAGCAGGACTGCACTGCGGGGTGGGTGTCCCCTGGCCCCTCCTGGTCACCCCAGCCACGTAGCACTGCACTAAGAGTCGTGTGGCCGGCAGCGCCCTACATGCCTGCCCCTGCCCCGGCTCGGGTCAGCCAGACCGCCCGGACAGGCGAAGGGAGCACGTTTCCCAGCCGGGAGAGCAGCGCCGTCCAGGGGCAGGGATTCGGACGCGCCTCTCCAAGCGCTCAGAGACGGGCACGTGCTCCGTGCCTGCTGCGTGCTCCCATCCCCACGTACCCGCGTGTATGAACACACTTGCAGCGACGTGCTCAGGTGTGCGCCCACGGACAGCCAGCAAACCTCGCGCGAGGGATGCAAAGCGCAGACACAGGCACCCTGCACTCGTTTCCCACCTCAACACGCCTACAGCCAAGCCGCCAAGTTAAGCTATTTTCTGCTGAAAAAAACCCTTCTTTTGCCAACTCCCCTTTCAGCACTCGGAAACCCACCCTAACCAGAGGGTTAGGTTAGTCCTTAAACCTGACCCTGCTCCATGCGAGGGCTTGCTCCTCCAGCCCTCTACAAGCAGACGGTGAGGAGGAGCAATCCCACCACCTGCCTAAGGCCACGGGCCCAGCCATGCCGCCCAGGAGCCTCACGCGGCTCCGGATGAAGGACTTTTCCCAAGCACCTTCCTTTCTTCGAAGCTGAGGAGCAAACACATCCCCGACTCGAACGCCAGCAAGGTGCAGGGGTCAGACCCCTGCTGCCTTTGGGGCCGGACCCCACCTAGGATCTGTTTCCCCGCTGCCCTCATGACCAGCCGTCATGAGACGGTGACAGGGGCCACCGCCCGGCCCCCGGGCCGCAAAC